AGAAAGGATGCGATAGGGAGAGGGGGGGACTTGACGCGTTTGGTTAGTAATGCATTTTTGGCATCTTTTGACCCGAAGATATCTCGTATAACCCTGATTGTGCATTGGTCATACCAGTCTTACCCTTCTGGTTGTATTGGCGTCCTCGTGAAGCTGCCGACGCTACCCCGGAAAGACGCCATTACGTATACATGAGACGCCCGCAAGCGTCTGGTGCTGTTTACGCTGCCCGTGAATGTCAGCGTCAAGCACTTGAGACGCTTTCGTTTCTTGCTTTTATTGTAAACTGACTTCTTTTAGTTTGCACTCTCAGGTATTGCGAATCCTCATGAATATTCAAGAAGCATCCTATAATTTTGTGTGCTCTTTCTTGGCTCTATGTTCTTGTCGTATCCACTTTCTGTTGATTTTTTGCAGGTGTCTCAGAGGATTGCCAAGGTGAGACATCTAACACGCTTAGCAGAGATGATGTTGACGATGAACTTGAAATGATTAGCAAGCCTTCGAAAAATCATCCTGCATGGAGCACTGTGCAAGACCCAGTTGATCGTGCCATGCCAGAATGGAAGGATGTCCCTCCATGTCCATCGCATGTGAAGTCTCCCATTGATTCGTTCAGAAGTATTTTCAGCATGGGCTTCCTCTCTTTCCTCTGTGAGCAGTCGTCACTCTACGGTACTCAGAGGAACCCTAACAAAGTCACACCTACCACACAATATGATTTGGAACAGTTTATAGGCATAGTGCTCACTGTGTGCATTATAAAGCTGCCTCAAACATGCATGTACTAGTCCGAGAAATTCCTTATTGGCCAAGCTGCCAACACCATGACCAGGGACAGATGGGAAGAATCGGAACAGCCCCTTCATTTCAACAACAACCAGGAGGCACCAGACAAAGAAGATCCAGAGCGTGGCAGGCTGTACCAAGTGTGGTCCCTACCTGGCCGCGAAATGCCGGGAACTACCGAATTCACAAAAACTGTGTGTCGATGAGCAGCTAGTCCCCTCCAAAGGGCACAGCTCACTGAAGCAATACTTGCCAAACAAACCCAAGAAGTGTTTCAAACCAGGAAAAGAGTGCCTCCAGAAATTTCCCACTGCCCTGTAGGGGTCATGCAAAGAAGCCTGTTTTCGGCCTCATGCCTAGTGTTGCCCACAGGCAACAAAGCTGCATCTAGTCAACCAAACATAGCAACATTTTCGATGCAAAGTGTGCATTGTAGTCATAGATTAAGCTCAAACATGTAAGAAATAAATGTTTTTTTGAAATATTTAGAGTCTCGTCAATAAAAGACTGGGTAACTGACCGGATTCCCAGACATGGTAAGCGGGTGAGGGCGAGACAAAGTTAAGTGGGAAGATGGGATTAGGAAGTTTACGGGAGCATAAAGTGCAGCAGCAAGCACATGACCGAGTTGCCTGGTGGAACATGAGAGAGGCCTTAGTCCTGCAGTGGTTGGGCTACTGCTGATGATGATGATGTGACATACTATAGACATGTCTACCTGCAGCTTTCATACTCGTCTATTACAATTAGCACAATGGAAGTTGGGCAAACTGTTTCAGATTCATTGCTTAAAAATTCACAGAAAAACGGACACAGAAGAGAGGTGCAAAATACAGGACAACATGCCACTGTCCAGTCAGTCAGTCAAGAACTTTATTACCGTATTTACTCAATTCTACCGCGCCCTTGATTGTAACGCGCACCCGATTTCCACGACGAAAAAAAAAAAGAAGGAAGACATGGATTGCAACGCGCACCCCCTTTTCTCGCTGGCCCAGACGATCACACCACTCGGAAAAACGGCTCATTTCGGGAGTGTCTTCCATTTAAATATGAGGCACGGGGGAAGCTTGTGCCCATCTGACGTGTAACAGAGCATTGCCGTCCCTGTAGTTTTATCGTGGACCGATGTCAGCACGCGAACTTGCTTCGCCCCCTTCTTCTCGACTGTTGTGGTGCCAGGCATGTTGAAGTAAAGAGGTGTCTGATTGGCATTCCCGATTTGCCCAAGCAGGTAGCCGTTGTTGTGCCGCAAGTTTAAGACGAACCTCTGAAAACTGAAGCTTTTCATCCTACTCCTCCGCAAAACTTTTCGCATATGCCCATTCGCCTTCAGAGGGAAAAGCCTTTCCTCTTCATAAAGTTAGTTAGCCAGCACCTGCTCGCTTTAAACTGGCTCCGCATTAGCCCTCTTTCTAAGGCTAACTGCATAGCCCGATCTTGGAGCAGTTCTGTCGTCACGGGTCGCTGTGCCGCTCGCTGCTCAAGCACATACTCGCCGAGCAGCTCTTTAATTTGCAGAAACCGACCCTGCTGTGGTCCACTGAAGCCTTTGCGTGAAGCTTTGCTGTCGACAATCTTCTGCTTTTGTTTTCGCCAGTCCCGCACGCATGTTTCGGAAACTCCGAACGCCTGCGATGCGGCCCGATTTCTGTCCGTTTCTGCACAAGCGGTGACTTTACTTTTAAAAGCGGCATCGTGGTGCACTCAAGTTTTTGGAGTTAGCCCTTCAATGCCGTCGATGCTAATGCACTACAAGATGACGAACTCCTCAGCACACATACGAAAAGCCGCACAAGGGAAACACATAATCAGAAATGGCCGACGCGCCATGCCGACGCACGCAGGGGGCGGCCATTTTGAAAATGCCGATGGCAATAGAATAACCAAATTCATTTTTTTTTTTCGTACTCGATTCTAAAGCACATGCGATTTATGAACTCGCTTAACTGGAAAAAAGGTGCGCGTTAGACTCGAGTATTTACGGTACACGGTCCTAAGGAGTTTAAGCCACCAGGGTGTTCCTGTGGGACATTTTAGCAGCTGCTACTGTAGGTGACACTCGAGTCGGGGCGGTAACGTGGTAGCGTTCCACCAGTTCTTGGGCCCTCTGGACGGCCTTTTGTTGGTTTCGGAGATCGGAGCTCCTGAGTGCCTCCTCCCAGTCGGACTCACTGGTGAGAGGTCCCTGAGGTAATGCGGGACATTGTCAGAGCGTGTGTTCGAGTGAACAGTACACTTCTGTGCAGTATGGGCATTGTGAATTTATGTCAGAGTTGTAATGACTGAGTCGGCCCTGTGATATGCAAGATTTCCTTTGTAGCATGCGAAAAGCTACCTCTTGCGCACGTTCAAGCTTTGCATAAGGTAAAGGGTATCGGCTTCTGTTGTTTCCGTAGTGGGAGGTAATTTCGTGGAAGGTGAGTAATGGGTCATCAAACTGTACGTCTCTGCCCAGCTCTTCAGTGGCTGATTGATTGTCACCACGAGTGAGTTCTCGTGCTCGATCATGAGCCATTTCGTTGAGATAAGGTTGCTATGGATGGACATCTTTGCCCATGTGGGCAGGGAAACAAGAGAGGTAGTGCGAACCCTTGTATTTGCATGTTTTTAAAATGTGGGCTGCTTCTCGAGCGATGTTGCCAGTTTCAGAAGCCCGAATGGTGGCGCGAGAGTCTGTGAAGACGTTGGTGTGTGAGAGGTTGATCATCGTTAAAGCTACAGCAACCTGTTCGGCTATGGCACTTGTTGCTAGCTCAACCGAAGCAGCTGAGCGTAGGGCTCCATCGCCATCTACTACAGTCGAAACCACAATAATGAAACCCCACGAGTACGAAATCTCCGCGGCAACGAAATATTTCCGGATCCCCGGCAAACAAAATGTTTTTAGACAGCAATCCCGCATCAACGAATTGTGTACCATGGCGCAGGCCTTATTTTACCCTCCCGCCAAAGGTTAACTGTCGAAAATATGCTCTTACGCGTGTTATGTGCACTCAAAATTTGTAAATATCTGCTTTTGCTGTGCTAGCGTAGGTATCTACTTAACAATGCCCTCTTCAAGGCTTACGCGGCATCTGAATAGGCAGCTTGAGCACCCAACAGAAGTCTTTTCTTCGCTTCCCTATTGTGTGCACCACCCCCGTCCCTTGTTACCATGGATTATAGCGGGAGATGCGCCACATAGCTGGGGAGGGACAATGACAGAGCAGGGAGCATGGTTGAAAATGAGGTGCAGGTGTGCAAGTTTAGTCTATGTCGCTGCGCGTGCCCTCAATGTGACTACGGAATTGGCCAACGAAAGACCGTGAGCACGTCAAGACGCGGGTGGAGCCTTCAAGAGACCATCGGCGGACTGCTTGTGTCTTTGCAGTGTACATAGGCCGACGACAAAAGAAAATACACTCCTAAAGACAGCCCGCTGACCAAAATCGGTGTCTTGTCTCTCTAGTGTAAATGCGCCTTTAGCAAAGCGTTGGAAACACTTGCCTTTTTGTGCATAGCGTTGCATTGCCAATGCAGCGTGATAAACCCTACGGTCATAAGAACTACTCATGTGTGACTTCTCTAGTATAAAAACACACAGAAAATATTGACGTGTTGTTATGGTGCCTCAAATATGCTCAATAATTGCTTTTTAATTGACAATCGCACAAGTATAAAAGCTGAAACTTGAGCAACATTGGTGGGTGCTGCGAATGGAGTGGCCGTTTGGGGTATCGTTTGGTGCCTTTTGAGGGATTGTTAAGGCAGACAAACAGACATACAGACAAAGAGATCAAAATTTTTGCGTCGAAGTACCCCAAGAAAGACTATCGTCTTTAAAAACAAGTGAGAGTTAACGAGCAAAACAAGACCAAGATGGCAGCGCTTGACAGGGTGGCTCAGCAATTTGAAACACGTAAATTTGGAGAATTTTTAGCACTCGCTGGCCGCTCCCCGGCTGCCGTGGCATGTTGTATAATTTAAGTGACGGAGTTTTGTAATTAATTAGACATTGATATTTACAGAACAGGTAGTTTGTGTGACCTACTACCCGCATATGTGGTTTTCAAAAAACCAACTTTTTCCAGATTTTTCAGTTTTCAAAGGGCACATTTCCCCTTAAGTTCACAGGACTTTGAATTCCGCTATGACGGACATTTGAGCCAACAGAAGCACCTGCCCGGACACATACAAGAGAAGGATAATTGGATTCCGTGGCCACCTACCTCTCGGCTGTGTGTCTGCACGGCTTCTGCCAGGCGTGCCCGCAGCTCCTCAGCCAGGTGGGCCTGCTCTTGGCAGCGCTGCTCCAGTGCATCCAGGCGCCGTTGATGATCAGTCCGCTCCGCCTCCAGCTCCAGCTGATGAACCTTGCTCAGCTCTTTCACCTTTCCCTACACCACACAGAAAAAGGGGTTTGAAGGCAGGCTACTTAGTAATGTGTGGTCACTGCATTGTGCGGAGCTCACTGCTTGGAGTGGTGGCTATATCTAACTCCACTTATAGCACACAATTAGTATAACGGAACACGCGAGCTGTGGATGAACGTGGCAAAGCTGCCTGCCAGTGCGCTCTATCAAAAGATGAGCTGCAGACAGCTAGAGTGCATTGGCACATCCAGCTGAACTATCTTAATATTCAGATGCTGGCCTTATCGCCCTCTCGCGTCAAATACGTGCTGCTACCATCATTGCTCATCAAGGGACGCTTTCAGTGATTTATCCATTTGTTTGCCTGCGTCATGAAGAAATCTTTGGAGGCATGTGCTTCTCTGCATCACCAAAAATGTGACCATTTTTACCCCTGACAAGCTGTGATGATAGTAGCATAGTTTTGCTTGCGCTGGCGATAGGCGACCATTTGATTATCAGGATGGGTCAGCCGGATAAACTGACACACTCTCGCTATCTGGAGCGCATCTTCTGATAGAGCATGCTGACATGCAGTTTCGCACCGTTTGGCCACAGCTCATGCGCTCCGTTTTACTTTAGGAGCATCTGTACAAGATAAGTCTGATCTTTGCGGGCAAAAACATAAGGTCCGTTCGATTCGCCTGCACCACGAGAACCAGTTCACGAGGTGCTGCACCTTGCCATTCGTTTCAGCGGTGCAGCATTGTCGACCGCTGAACCCTGCCATTCGTTTCGAAAGGTGCAGAAGAGGTGCAGCACCGGTTCACGATTTTCCTGCACCTCCTTCGCTGACGGTGCCGGCTTGGTGCAGCTGCGCGTGCAGCTGAGCAGACGACGCAGCACTACATAGGTGGCTTAGGCGTCGTACCTGCCTCTACAAACGCGCTGTGTATTTTCAAGATGTTTGCGCCTCATAAACTGTCCGCATGTGCGTTTCGCCATAAGTCAGTGTCTGATGAACGGTGTAAATTAACCGAAAAGAAATAAGGCCAACACCTTGTTGGCACATTGTCATTTGTTTCGGGTGTTGTGCTCTGCCTGCACCGCTGAACTCACGCTGCACAATTTCTGAACTTCGCGGGCACAGCCGTGAACCGGTTCCGACCGGTGCAGGTGAATCGAACGGACCTATAGTGCTGGCAAACATGAGAAAGTGAAAAGCTGCAATGTGTTTCATCACAAACAACAAATCACATTGCCGGCTAGTTCTTCAGAACTGGGGACGGGCATTTTACTCGTCGTCAGCGAACCAAGCTTGTGGCTCTACAACTCTCCGAGCCACGGTGGAAGTGATGAGCAACTTCACACGTCGGTGCCCTAATTGCCCTTTAGTTGCATGCACCACGTGACGCATACCGTAGAGTACTTTTCCACAGTTCAGCATAACATCACCACTCCTAGACCTTCGGCACGTGCCTCATGCCCTTTTACTCATGATAGCCTCACTAACAAGCAACTGAGCAAAATAACTTTTTTCTCCTCGAGGTCAACCCCCAGTTCAGCCTTCCCTCAATTCAACACGCACACCAACAGCAAGCAAGACGTGCATGCCCGACATACAAACCAGAACACGTGCAAATGCTCTGGGCCCGTTGCTAGTCAGAAAATAAAACTTCTGAATTCGAGCCAGTGTGGCTGGGGTCTTAGAGCAGTGGAAACGAGTGAGGAAATCGCGATAAATAGAGGAAAGCAGACTTGCAAAAGGCAGGCAAGGAGTTGCAATAGAGTGAAGAGCGGGGAGCATATGGTGGGAAGGCGACCTTAAAAATCAAGACACGGGGAAAGAAGGCAGGTCAGGTAGCTTGCTTGTAAGATTCACGAAACATGCAACTCACATGTAGGAAAACTATGGAGAGCGGTCTGCGCACGTAGAGGTCAAAGAATCACATTGTGGCGCCAGCAGACTTGTGCAGCCTCGCCAATCTAGATAATTCACTATTCGTTCTGTGTAAAAGCGGTTTTTATACTTCCGCAAATGTGCGGAGGGCATGCTGAGCTAAGTGCAAAGTGAACGAGAGCAAGTTTTAAAAACACAAAACGAATCGCAGAACGAATCACAAATTAAGTCGGTGGGGTGGCACAAGCACTTGCACTGGAACAATAACCACTGCTCCAAGCAAGATGAAGACTAAGGTTTACTCAGTAGCCAATGGTGTTGGCAAATGGTCTGCTCGCTCCAGGCTGACGATACCAACAATAGTATAAGAAAACTAGGAATCAAAAACAGTGGGGAGACTAGTTGGTCAACCAATGTTCGAAATATCAGTGGCAGTGTGAAAACGAAGGCTTTGTCTGGCAGTGCAGGGTGCGTAACAAAAAAGGTTGGGGAGAGCGACAACTAGAAGGCTGCAGAGGCAGGGCCGGCGTTTAACAATAAGTATTGGCGGTCAAAAATGTGTCATGGGGAAGTCGCTGGAGTGCAGACTCCGTTCGCTGTAACCCATCAGCGGCACTCAAAGACCTTCGTTGTAAGTGCGATTTTGTGCCATTGAAGTAATGTATATTTTCATGGTCAGGCGGGTATCATTCGTGTTGAGTGAAGGTTCATTTTAAAAGGGGCCGTTATATGTGGGCGCAACTGTAGAACTTGCCAGAGGCCGACGGCCATGCGCTGCACCCTGTCTGTGAGTGCTTATCCAACAAGAAGCTTCAGAAAGGATACGCTAGAGGAAATACACAGAATGCAGGGGCGAAAGTGGACTTCGGTGAGCAGCTAAGAGAGTAAGAATAATGATGTTTTGGAGCAGCTTCGCAGAGCAAAGGTCAAACCTTATCGTCAATCAAAAGTATTGCTGGTAAAAAAATTCCAATGGTTTTCACTAAGCATTCAGTACTAATGAGCTTAGCAAACTTACCACCTGCACGTGCATGCATGTGTGAGAGAGATACAAAATATTCCCATTTCATAATCTGCCTGAAGCAAAAAAGAATATTCTGGGTGATAAAAACACGGAACTATTTTTTTACGCGACGTATCTACTACAAGGAGTCTCGCTATAGCCTTCACAGCGATGTACCTGATGTGTGAAAGAAATGGAGTATATATAATCGCGGCACACTTCACTCGGAAACACACTACTCTGTTCATCTGTCTTCGGTCTGAAGCGAAGCAGAGACCAGCAATTTACACATCAAATCGGTGCGTACATTACAGCGAGCCACCCGGTAGCAATGGTGTGGGCAGTGTCAGCAGGGTAGGCGCCGCACTGCACGCAACTAACCAAGAGCGAGCCGCCCGGCAGCAACTGATGTAAGCAGCGTAGACACAGCGCTGCCCGCACCTAACCAGGAGATAATCCGAGTGCATGCGACCACTCCATGCTTCAATAACTGTGAGTTGTCACTCAGTATCATATCGCGGTGGAGAAGAGCCCATATGCATCACGGAAAACCGACAGTGTTCGTTCTGTCGCCACTTCAGTCGCTGCTTATCCTGGCCCGGTAAAATTTCGTAATGCTCTTTAATCAGCGTCGCCACTACGCTCGATAATATACTCGTGCGAAAGTGCCAGCCCCGTATGATTTTTTTCCGCACTCTGGCAAAAAGGAAGAAAAGACTTTCTGGTATATACTTTGGCCGACATCTGCTGTGATAATGTATCCGTTTATTGGTGGTGATGGGGCACCTCAATAGGTGCACTATTGCACTTGTAAACTCGGACTGCCATGTAGGTGCCACCACTTTTGCGAGCGAACTATAGCAATAAGTGCAATGAGAGCCCCACTAATGAATAGAATTACGAAGTCGACTGGATATGAATGCGACTGAGTCCTCGATGTAGTAAGCGCTCAGTGTTGCTCGGTTGACGATACTAATCAGCCAGATTTGACGGTTTACACTTTCAATCGACAATTATCACAGAAATTGCTGTTTATGCACAGCCAGGTGCAGCAGGCCAGATTGGGGCAGAATGGCACAATTGGCACAGCACTTCCACCTCTGAGAATGTGAATGAGGCGTTGCACTTGGTTATCTGGAGCCTGTCACAAAAGGACAAGAATGCGGCATTGTTTGCTGTTGAGACTGCTGTGGAAGATGCTGTTGTGCACTTCTACCTTGGAAACAAGTCGTCTAGTTCACTTATTTTGTGTGGTGCACTTCTACCTTGGAAAAAAGTCATCTAGTTCACTTATTTTGAGTGAACTGTAGCTAGAGCCAACAAGCCAAGACATCCAGTGGGCAGTTGAGATCTGGCATGAAGAGAAAGTGTACATGTTCAGCAGCATTCCAGGCAGCCGCAAGGAAGAAGGACAAACAGAAGCCTGTTTCAGATTACTCCCCAGAAACTTTCCGAGTGATTGTAATTATAAGTGTTGTGACTTTTCATTCTGAAATGTTTATTTTCGCAAGTTTTCAGTTTTTTGCATTTTTCTCAGATTAAGATTTTTGCGTGATTTAAATTTAGGGATCAACACTTTGTCACCAATACTCATTAAATTTTCGAAATTTTTTACTTTCTCCTTTGCATGAATGATAGAGGATCAGCGAGGGCAAAAAAAAACAAAGTATTTTAGGAGATCACAATATTATGAAATATTCTAGAAATCACCAGCGAAAATTCACAGCTAACAGAATAGGACATGAAGACTTCATAACTTTGTCTAAAACTGAGATACAAGTATTAAATTTCAAACTTTCGCTGTTTGAACATTCAGGAACATGCCAGCTGAATTTTGGCTCTCCAAATGCACTACTTTTTAAGCAAATCACATCCTATATTCATAGAATAAGAATTGTAACTTTTTTTTGGATTGGCAAAAAGAAAATGTAATTACAAATGTAATTGCATATGTGAAATCAGTAAACAAAGCTGAATGTTCTCTGAAAAAATCATGCCTATGGTCAATAGTAATGAATTTCACTCTCCGAAACCCCTTAAAGGAGCACTGATATGAAATTTACTCATGCCAAGATTTTTGCGTCAGCGAGTAGCTATAGACCCCGTAGCAGCGATTCACGACCTAAAACGCAACTGAGGGAT